TAATACTTATCCCCTCACTTTAGTGCAATGACAGAGGTAATACTGCGGGCAACTGTTTCACGAAACCGGACACATCTGAATATTTTTTTCGGTTCCGCTCTGTCCGAAGACAGAAGTACAAATGAAAGCTAAGATGTAGTTTGTCCGTCCGAGAACAAATAATACACTTAGGTCCAGGGAAAAGAAAAGCGTAACTCAAACTGCTTGGTCAATGAATGCCAAATGTTTACTTATAATAAAACGCCAAATATAATCATTAGAGATTAGAACAGATACTACACTTAGATCCCAGTCTGATGAGCAGGGAATGAAAAAGCGTAAGTCGATAGCGCTGGCAACTGGGTCAATGAATGTTTCCTTATAAAAATACACGTAATATAACCATTAACATTAGAAACATTAGGCCAGTTATGACTGACTAGTGAGTTCGATCCTCACTGGGTGTTCCATACTTTTGGCCGTGTGCCACATGTGAGTAGAGCTTAGAAAATCCTTTATTCTTCACTAGTTTTGGAGTTCGAAATGAATATTATTCATAAGCCCCAGGGGACCGTCACCCCAGGCAATACCTCTCCTTTGGGAGTGGGCTAGGTTTAGGTGTCTGATACCTGAGCATTTTTCCGCACTAATGCTATTAAACCCATTGAATGCACTGAAAAATACACCATTAGAGATTGAAAGAACAGATACTACACTTTGATCCCAGCCTGATGGCCATGGAGTGAAGAAAAGCAGAACTTAAGTAACACAGGCTGATTGTCAAATATTTTCTTATAAGGAAAACACCTAATATAACCATTGCCATTAAAAATAAGGAGAACAGATATTACACTGCGATTCCAACCCGATGACCAGAGAATTAAGAAAAGCATAACTCGAGTAGTACCAGCTGTCTGGACAATGAACGCCGAATGTCTTTTTTATAAAGAAGATTTTGAAATCGACTTGTTCTTACGCTCCCAAAATGGCGACGATCCAGCAAAAATTTGACATCATTTTAAAAACAATTATCATGAAAACTACTAAATCCAGCTCAATGTAACTGAACAGTTTAGGTGTTGAACATCATAAGTTTATTATTTGACCGATTTCATAAGTATTCAATATGCGCAGCGCCTGTAACACGGCACATGTGAAGTCGGTATTTAAGCTCTTACCAAACACGTTGATGTTAATGATGGTCTGTCACATGCTATTTCCCTGTATAAGCAGCCTTCCTCTTCCAAATCCAAATTTATTTGCCAGTTGGTGAAGTTTTTTTTCCAAATTTTACAATTGAAGGCACACTACACAGTCTTGGGCGACTGTGTGGGAGTATATTCCAAGACCCAAAATGACTTCTCTTTGGGTGTGAACGGCATGGTTCAACTTGAAAACCGAACAAAAATGAAACATTAAATATAAAATCTGGATCTGTTTCTGTACATTCTGTGAAAATCTGAGGTTATTTCAAACAAGAATTGCCGAAATTATTGGCCTGTGAAATGACAATTTTTTGACGACACCGTGTTTTTAACATTGAGAAACTTGTTTTTTTAATTTTTAATAAGAAACGGGTTTTATCCCATTATTTATTCGTGTACAAGAGTTTTGGACCCACTTTTGGACGATAACTTGACAAGCAACTGCGAACACAGGACATCCTTATTAGTTATTTTTTTTTGAGATTGTAAATCAAAGATTTGAGAAAGCCTCTTGAAAAATGTAGAGTGGGATGTCGTTACTTTAAAGTGTTTTCTTACTTGAAAAACAGCGGATATCCGGGCATTTTTCTTTACATTTTTTTTCTTTGTCTTTCCTTTTTTCTTTTCTCCTCTTTTTTTTCAAGACTTTTAAAAGATTTATTTCTTCAAAGAATTTGATGGACTTTATTTTTCCGGGAGAAAGAACAAAGTACTCTTATTTCGAACAAATATTTCTAAATAAATGAATACTACAAAGATCAAAGTGAGAAATATCAAGTTTATTAATATATATATATATATATATATATATATATATATATATATATATATATATATATATAATTATTTATTTTAAAATTATAACATAAATATATTATAAAATCACTACAAAATAGCCATTTTGTTTCAACACCTCCGGGGTCTTATCAAGTGATGATTTTGAATGTAAAATAAATCCTTTTAAAAGTTAAAAATTGAATTTGAAACTTTTAAAAGCATTTATTTTACATTCTTGATAAGACACTGGAGGTGTTGAAAAAAATAACTATTTTTGTAGTGATTTTCTAAATATTTATG